TTTTAATTTGCTTCTAAATGTTCCTGGGCTTACAAAAATTGCTGATGGTCTGGCAGTAAAACATTTTCACATTCTGGAAGGTAAATGTTTTCTGTACTATGATTTGACCTCAGCTGGTCTCTGTACCCCACATGGTAATATGTGTTCATTTTTCATTGCAAGATGTAGTATATAATTTGATGTTGAGGATTTAAGTCCCTAAGGTAAGTTATTTTCGTTAAGTATACTTCCACCTTTTTTTTTTTTTTATTTTAAGAAAACAACAGCAACAACAGCAAAAAACAGGATCTCGCTCTTCACCCAGGCTGGAGTGCAGTGGTGTTATTTCGGCTCACTGCAATGTCTGCCTCCCAGGTTAAAGCAGTTCTCCTGCCTTGCCCTCCCAGGTAGCGGGGTTTACAGGTGCATGCTGTCACACCCAGCTAATTCTGTATTTTTAATAGAGAAGGGGCTTCACCATGTTGGCCAGGCTGGTCTCAAACTCCTGACTTAGTGAGCCACCTGCCTCAGCCTCCCAAAGTGCTGGGATTATAGGCATGAGCCACTGCGCTTGGCCCTTTTTTTTTTTTTTAAGGTAATTTTGGAGTTTGCAAATAAGCAGAGTCAGCAAATCACTCTTGAAGTTGAAAACACCTCCCTTTCCTATAGGAAAATCATCTGTAGCTATATATACGATGTCTTAGTCCAGGTGTCATGGCTCACACCTGTAATCCCAGCACTTTGGGAGGCCGAGGCAGGAGGATTACTTGAGCTCAGGAGTTCAAGACAAGCCTGGGTGACATAGTGTGCCCTCATCTCTAGTTTAAAAAAAAAAAAAAAAAAAAAAATCTTAGTAGGAGACAAATGCGATAGCTTGGCAGGAATATTTAGTGAACCTAAAGGGAAAGAGTTGGCAGTGTAATGAACCAGATTATGAGCTCAGATTTGCCGAGGATAAGCACAAAGTTTGTTTTGTTTTTTAAATCAACTGTACTAGTTATAGCATGAGGAATACTGGCTATCAGTAAATCACTTAAAAATCTAGAGGTTTTAATTAACTTTAAATTTCATGAAACATCATGCTTTCTACCTTAAGTGTGTTCAAGTGAAGCATTTTTTCCCTATAAAGTTGATAAAATGTTAGTGTTACATACTTGACAGCTGTTTAAATCTTGTCACCATAAAAATTCCTGTGGTAAAAGACTTTTTGTAGTAATGTATTGATTTAACAGTTTTATCAAATTCAGGGTTTTTATGAGTTAAGCATTTCTGGAAAGATGCTAAAATCATAAGCATGACATGAAGATCTGCATCCGTTTCAAAATGGTCTTTTTAGTGGTGATGTGTTCAGCTTGTCATGTTTGTACCATGTTTTAATATAAAGCCCTTTTAAGAGCATCCACTTTTTAAAAATCCTTTGCCATTTCCTTGAATGCCTGGTTAATATTGTAGAGTGGTCTTGTTGTGCCCTCATGCACCAATTGTACATGTCTGTCCCTGTATGTCACTGTATAGTCTAAATGTCGTTGAAAAATGATTTATGCTTCATTTTCCCTTATTGCTGATAAATCCTGTATGCTGTTTAGTATTTTTATTTCCTTTTTTTTTTTGAGATGGAGTTTCACTCCTGTTGCCCAGGCTAGAGTGCAATGGCACGATCTCAACTCAGTGCAACCTCCGTTCCGCTTCCTGGGTCTAAGCGAGTCTTCTGCCTCAGCCTCCTGAGTCGCTGGGAATTACAAGCATGCAACACCACTTCCAGCTAAGTTCTGTATTTGTAGTGGAGATGGGGTTTCTTCCTGTTGGTCAGGCTCGTCTCAAACTCCTGACCTCAGGTGATTCGCCCCCCTTAGCCTCCCAGAGTGCTGGGATTACTGGTGTGAGCCACCGCACCCTGCCTCTGTTTAGTATTTTTAAAAAGAGATCACTTAACATGCTAATTGGACTCAAAATGTTCCTAGCAGAGTTTGTAAAACTAGTTCCAGAGTTTCTAAGGTCATTTGAGTTGGCCAATACTATGTTGCTTAATTGCTCTGGAAAGCATTTCTGAGGATTCCTTCCTTCCTAAACCCCATTATTACATAGATTTGGTTTAAAGAGTCATGCTGATTTGCAGGAATTTTATTTTCTTCCTTTAGAATGAGAATCTGTTTGGGTTGACCAGTGATTAGAAGTTCACATTTTGCATGTTAAACTTACCATACAGCATTCCCAAACTGTACATTGCCGGTCTTAACCCTGAGGGTGCTAATTTAGACAAAAATATGGTTGGAGGCAGGCACTTCTGCGTAAGTGTTGCAGGTAATATGCAGACCTAACATTGAGAACTTGGACAGGTTGAGCCACTCAGGTACATAGTAAGTGACTGATGTTTCTGTGATGATCACAGTAGAAATATTTAAGCCAAGATGCACATTACCTGAAAGCTGCTCTTGCCTGGTTTTCTTAATTTGTATACTGTGACTATTAATATCCTGGAACTTCTAGTGGTTCAGTCTTTTATGTAGTTGACAGTCCTTAGATTTGCCCCACACATCACAAGGGTGTGTATATATATTTTTATTTTGTGTTTGTGTGAGCATAGATAGGCATCTTCAGCTCACCTATACTCCCACCACACTCTTCTTTATGGGAAAAGTTCACCTACACTCCCACCACACTCTTTTTTATGGGAAAGGTGCTTCCCTCCCCCACCCACCTTTTACCATTACATACTGAATGTGGTATGTTGGATATTGGGACTAATTGTTGATCATTAAAACAGGGTTTTGGTTTTTTTTCCTCTCTCAATTACCTGAATATTCTATGTGAAATTGTTACTGGTTTCAGTAGATATATAATTATTTTCATTATTTGACCAGTTTTTTAGTTTTAAAGATATGTTGCTCTAATTTGTTTTGATTGTAATTTCTGGCATCTTGATTTCCTGTTTCAATGTAAGTTTTAAGTTTTGCTTAATCTGAATTATTTTATTAGGTTTTTGGTTCTCATGCCAGAGTAAAATGTGATAAATTCTTCTTTATTTAACACATGGATAAAAAATTCTTTGAGTAACTTTACATGTGAAAATATGATAAATTATTTCCTCATTTAACACATGCATATAAAATACTTTGAGTAACTTCACATATAAAAATATAAAAAGTTTAAGCTTTTTTTTGGTTTGGCTCTTAAAAAAAAAGTTAAGGGTGCCAGGGTTAATATCTTGGCTGCATAGAGATGCCAGCTTGGATCTTATCAGTAAAACTTTAGTCTGTTCTGTTTTCCTAGAATTTAAGAGTTAGAAATATTGAAGCTTTAAGTGTGGAATTTGTAAAAGTAATTACTTCCAGAAAGTTTTCAAAGTCAGCCCTTAAGGAGGTCCCTGTAAAATTCACTTAAAAAGCAAAAACACTAGATCACCTGAGGTCGGGAGTTCAAGACCATCCTGACCAACATGGTAAAAAAAAAAAAAAAAAAAAAAAAAACACTGGAATCCTGAGTCTGACTATTAACTACTCTTCCCCACAAAAAGTGTCTTTACTTTTAGTAAACTACTTTCAAGTATTTTAAACTGGAGTAATTTTCTTTTGGAAACGATGTTGCTGTAGAAGATGTTAAGTGAAGAATAAAGACTGCCTTTTGTAGTGCTTGAATATTAACTCCTTTGGGAAGTTTTCCTCAAGAAGTCATACTTTAACTTGCATAAAGGCATTTGCATCTGTATTAAATGTGTTTGTTCAGAATATAGACGTAAGTGTGGACATGAATTCTGGAGGGTGAAATAAAATCCACAGTTACTTAAGCAGCTTGTTTT